GCTTGACCGTAGAGGGAAGATTGGTGTAGCTTGGTTCGAATCCCCGCTGGTATACTAACTGACCTCACTGAGGTTTTCCTAAAATTCTGGGATACCGCCTTGATTAGGCCACGACCGCTTCCCCAGTTCGTCCTGTTTGAATTTCCCACAGGCGTATGAATACCGGAAGTAAGTTGAAGGTGGAATCTAGTAACGTTTTCATGATGAAGTAACAGGCTGCGTCTGTGAGTGGCAATGACGAACCCTTGTTCATCCTTTGGCACTGCTTTAGCAGTCGACGCTGTCTAGTCTGACGTCATGAAATGAACCACAAACAAAGAAAGTTTTACCATAGGGGAAAAACGTCCGGTACGCACTGGACATGACCGGTGGGCCGAGGAACCGGTTTGGATGCCGTGGAGAAGAAGAAATCTGTCCCAGCGGAGGAACGAACTAGGTACTCCAGCCCGTAAATCAGTCATTATACTGGTCGAGTTATCGGTGTTCCAAAATGAGGCAGGTGTTAACGTGTCTGAAGGCACTGTTTTGTCGCTCTTCTGGAGGAGGTACAGGATGCCCTGTACACGCACAGCCCCTTGATGTTAGAGACCTCCAACGATTAAGTGTCGGTGTCATATGCTTACACTTCCACGAGCTCTCTCCGATATCTCACGAATATATTTGCGGACCTTGTACTATTCTGTTGCTCTGAGTTTCTAGTGCGTCTTTGTGTTCTTACTTTTATATCTTCATACTTAAATTTAGATTAAGAGCTCTTAATCTTGGTAGCGTAGTTGGTTGATGCACTATACTATAAGCCGGAAGGTCGTAGGTTCGAGTCCCGATGAGGTAATTGGATCTTTCAATTGACATAATCCTTCCAGCCGCACTATGTCCCTGAGGTCGATTCGGCACCTGGCAGAAATGAGTACCAGGCTGACAGCCTCGCCGCAATATATGAGCCGATTGTCTAGACACTGTGAGAGCCTTGACGTCTCACAAACCTATGGGCCTCCACGGCCTGTTACAGGGATAGCTTCAGCTTTTTAATCTTTTCCTTTTCTTTAACTTTTGTTAATATAAATATATTTTGTACTTGTATCAAGATGTAAGGGGGCACGCGGCAGCGTAGTTGGTTGAGGTACTTTGCTACAAGCCGGAAGGTCGCGGGATCGAATCCCGATGTGGTCATTGGATTTATTTCAATTCACATAGTTCTTCCAGCCGCACTATGGCCCTGGGTTAGACTCATCCTATAAGAAATGAGTACCAGGAATATTCTTGGAAAGTTCTTGGGGGTAGAGGGCGGCCGGCGCGTAAGGCTGACAACTTTACCGCCATCTATGAGCCGATTGTCTAGAAAATGTGGGAGCCTCAACATCTCACCACCCTATCGGCCTCCACGGCCTGTTACAGGTATGCCTTTACTTACTTATCAAGATGTAAGCCTCTTTCTTAAGAAGACTAAAAGAGATGGGGGGGCTTAGAGCACACTTTCGCTATAAAGCGGCTTTGAGTGTACCTGACGAGATACGAACCGGACATTCCAGAATATAAGTTTGCAATACAGCTTCTTGATGGCCTGATCTAACCTTGTGGTCTTCAGTTGAGAGAACTTCATCGATTTCCTGGGTAACAGGATCTTGTGTAATTTCTGTCCGTTAAATGGCGGAGTAATTTGATTTGCAAGGACACTTCCATGTTTCAGAGTTGCCTCAGTCAAAATCGACCAGAAGCGTAGACTCTGAAGAACGCAGTAAGGCTCCCGTCAACACTCCCCCAGTTGCGTCCGACAAATGGGTGGCTTCACTCCGAAGACGGGACCCAGAGATACAACCAGCCTTGCCAGCCATCAACCCCCGGGGCCGGTGAGGACTGAGGCTTCCAAACTACCGGGAAGATTTGGATGAATGGCTGGATCGCTGTAAAATGGGAAAGATTGAACTCAGTAGCAGAATGACTGTGGAACGGGGAGTACTGGACTGAATGACTAGCTTTGGAAGGATTGGAATGAATGGTTGAGTGATCGAATTGGGAAGAATGAGTGGCCGAATGACCTTGAAATGGGATGGGTTGAACGTAGTGGCTGAATGATTGTAAAATGGCAGATTGACTTGAATGGGAAGGATTAGAATGAATGGTTGAATGATCGAAATGGAAAGAGCTAGACTTAGCTGGCGGAATGATTGTGAAATGGGAACGAACAAAAACCGTAAACCCGCAGAAAAGCATTTTGGTTATTAAATGTGTGTATAATTTTGCTCCAAGCGTTTTTGGCTCTGGTCAGCATGCAGCAAGTTAGGGTCTAGATGCACTTAGAAACACTGGTAGGTCGACATAGAAAGTGCCCTTTAATTTCGCCCACTTTGACCCAAATTGGAATTTTCTGAAGAAAAATCAGTGAAACTCCTTAATATAAGATTTCCTCGCTGCAGTTCCCGACATGTTACGAAGATGGGACAGACTCAGCAAAGATAATAGGCGCATTTTTTGCAACTTTAGTTGCGACCAGGCCAAAAAATTGATATAAAAAAATGCAAGATTGTGAACCGAATTCAAGGGGCTCAGGATAGAATTCAGTTGCAGGGAATTTCTGCATGTGCTGAGTAACTTGCAAACTGTTGTGCCATGGAACTGGCCCACAGTATGAAACTGGACGTGGTGTGTATGTCTAGGAGCTCCAGCTACAGTGTGAACACAAGTCGAAAATCACGGTCCGTGGACCGCCTGCCACGGCCCGGTAAGGATCGGACCAAAGGGACGGTACTCGAGGGGCTGCGCCCCACTGTGAAGAAGCTGGAGCCCGAGCAGCAGGACCAAGTGGAGGTGGCAGGGGATGAGGAGCGTGAGGAACGTGTGTTCAACCCCACAGGCTACGAGGCTCATCTTGTCGAGACAATTGAGAAGGATATCTTGCAGTATAACCCTGACATCACATGGGCCAAGGTGGCTGGTCTGCATGAGGCCAAGGCGATTCTGCAGGAGGCCATGGTGCTGCCCATACTGATGCCAGACTTCTTCAAGGTACTGTGCCGGTCTCTCTTCGTTGCTTCTTGCTTTTCAGTCTGATCTGATTTCGAGCCTGAACAGTCCTACATTCTTCCCGATTGAGATTGTATTCTTCTGGATCTGACTTGTAGATATTCTCACCAGCCTTTTTTACCGGTCTTGTATCCTTTCAGGTCAGTCTTATATTCTTTTAGATTGATCTTGTGTCCTTCTGGACTTGCCTCATACTCTTGTAGGTTGCCCTTGCATCCTTTGCAATCAGACTTGTATCCTTTAAGAACTGCTTATACTTTTCTCAACCTCTCATATATATTCTGTGATTGCCTTGTATCCTTTTGGGTCAATTCTGTTTCCTTTAAGATTCATTTTGATTCCTTCCCTACTGTCATCCCTGATTCCACTTTCAGTTTCAATTCCTTCCTTTCTTCCATATTTCATTTGAGTTTTGTTTCAATTTACTGTTCCCTCTCATTACCTTCATGGCTTGTTTCTCAATGTATAGATACAGTCTATAATGTTCTAAGCCCAAGAGTAGGAATGCCAACCCCCCCCCCAAATGTATTGTGGTTTTTTGAGGATATATATTTTTGTCCCTAAGACATAAAATGTCGACACCCTTTCATTTGGCCTTCCTTTATCTTGCTAGAAGTTTATAGACATGATACTCGGTTGAAGAGAGAACTGCATTTACAGGGCATTCGGCGACCGTGGAAAGGAGTGCTAATGGTGGGTCCCCCAGGAACAGGAAAGACCCTGTTAGCCAAGGCTGTGGCCACTGACTGTGGTACAACATTCTTCAACGTTTCTTCTTCCACCCTCACTTCCAAGTATCGGGGTGAGTCAGAGAAACTTGTCAGGCTGCTCTTCGAGATGGTAAGAACCATCCTTACATATAAATGGCTAACGTTTGCTGTTCTGTCATTGTGTATGGTAGCTATCAGAGTTGGAAGTAATTACAAATAGGGACAAAAGATGGCAGCAGTAGAAAGTATTTTTATAGTTAAAAAACAGAGCCCACCTGTGATGAAGTTGATAGAGTACAGTAGTGATAGAAGTGTCAATTAAATTCACTATCCATGAAGTTCAGTGTCCTGGTTTAAATGTAGCTCTCTTCCCAGAACTTTACAAGTTACTGAGGTTAGATTTTTTATTAAGTTACATTTTATGTACAAAAAAATATCCCACAAACACAGAAACTGTTCTCTCAGTAACTTTTGTGTAACAAATTCAGCTGTATTGGTAAATGCAAAAACTTGCTACTGAAATATCAATTGGATTTATGCCAATTCATAAGTAGTGGGAGGATCCCCACCATACATTCTCAGTTAGTTATTAAATGAAGATTCCTTCCACCTGAACTTACAGGTCTCCATGTATATAAATATATATTGACTTAAATTATAATTTTATGAAAAATCATAATTACACATAAATAAATATATTTATTCATAGTTTACATAGCATAAATAATTTATCTTGCATGTCAGAACGTGCTCTTAAAATATTTGAGCTTATGTGATTTTGATCATGAATAATGCTGAACTTATGTGGGATTTGAGGTTCTCATGGCAGTGACTGTAAAGTTTGCTGTCTTCTGGGATGTGATGCTGTGCAGTCGGATAGATCATTACCAACGTTTCAGAGGAATAAACTGCCTCCATCTTCAGAGTACAAGAGTAAGCCAAAGGTGGAAAAAAGTGTTATGGCTACTGGGATAGGAAGGGCCAAGCTGGGCTCTGAGTGAACCAATAAGGGAAAGAGAAGAGTGTACAAAATATGGAGGCCTCAGAATCAGCCATTGTTTGTGTTTTGTCTATCTCATAGTCATTCTGCCGATAAAAGAGGAACTCCAATAGGTCACTGTTTGCTTACTTTATTCCTCCCTACTTCTTTCTAGCTTGTATCAGTTCCCTTAGCCATTACATCTGTCCATCACTATGCCTTCAGAAACTGACACTTTCAAGGACCACATATTCTTCATGCTGTTGTCCTTACTGCTGTTGGTTTGATTAGATCAGCAGTTCTGGTCCACCTTCTCCCCTTTACCTTTACCTTTACCTTTAGCGTTTCTTTCCATGCCTGACTTACTATTCTACCCTAGCGGCCTCCGTAGTCTAGGGGTAACGTTCCCACCTCGTGACTCAAGGTACGCTGGTTCAAACCCGGTGGAGGTCGTGGAATTTTTAAGGGCGGAAAAATTCAGGGAACAAGTCCTCCGGGAGAGACTTTAAGCCGTGGGTCCTGTGTCGTAGCTTTACGGCACATAAAAGAACCTCATGTCCCAAGGGGACCACTGAGCCAAATTCAGGACATTTCCCACCCAACAGTAGTCTCTAACGCCTCTGGTAGATGGGGGAAGCAACGAGATACCGCTGAGCCAGTAGAGGCCGAACTCGCTGGCTGAGTCGGGACTGATGGCACACACCAGTACTGGTAGGGAATAGAGACTGGTAGAATATCATAGGGGGACGCACAATGGACCAACAGTTGGTCTAAGTGCATGGGGAAACCCACTCTCTCCAATACAATACAGTACTATTCTACCCTGAAGATGGAGTCAGATGCCTCCAAAATTTTCATAATTATCTACCAGACTACATGGCCTCACATCTCAGAAGTTATTAATCTTCATTGTCGAAGTTACCGAAACTGTCTTGTGGTCTGTTTGCCTGAAAGAGGTTCGCCATTTCCATGCCAGTTTATGCTCCACATTTGGAAGATCTGAAGATTTCATGGTGAATAAATGTTCTGAAATCTCGAGTGATAATGTTTCAGACTTTGCCCAAGAAGATTTTAGCATGCTCCACATTTGATACACAGGAAATGCTATTTTTGTTGCAGGCCAGATTTTATTCACCTAGCACAATCTTCATCGATGAGATAGACTCGCTGTGCTCACAAAGGGGCACCGACTCAGAGCATGAAGCTTCACGGCGCTTCAAGGCAGAGCTACTGATTCAGATGGATGGCATCAACTCCAGCAGGTAATGATGTAGGTAGTTACTTAACATACATTATGCAAGACTTGAGCAACAAAGTCAGTGGGTATAGTATGAAATCTGGTGTCTTAAGAAGAAACTTAAAGAATGAATCAAGGAAAGAAACAAAAATGAAGTTTTATAAAACATCAGCACTGCAAACTTTGCTGTATGGAAGTGAATCTTCGACAGTTAAAGCTACAGACATAAATTGAATACAGTAAGAATTACTGGGTTTTTGGACTTCTTCCATCGTCCAGTATTCTAGAGACTAGAGAACATGACATTTCGGAAAATGGATCTGTTTCGGTCCAAAGTTGAGGGGGGAAGACACATGCTCAGTTGGGTCCCTCAGAAAGAGCTAATCTCGATCACTAGACAGCTCCTCTCAAGTCAAGTTTTATGTTATGACTGACAGTGAGTTGGCCAGTGTGTCTTGGAGTAAAGCACCCATCTGGGGCTTTTGACGAGATTTCTTTACTGTCAGATAGTTGTGGGTTTGTTGATGTGGGGCGCTGTCTCTGACGAGAGGATAGGTCTGTTCTTTACAATTGCTGCTGGCCCTCTCCAGTGCAGTCATTCTTGGATCCGAGTCCTGTGGGATTCATTAAACATATTTTATTGTCTCAGATTCAAGACTTCTCTTTTTGTCACCTCCTACAATTCACAGGGTTACGGTGGAGGTTTTCGACCCTGTTTCCACATGGGACTGATTGCATAAATGTATGAGGGGTAGGCCTTCTCGGCCCTTGCACCGTGATCTACAGTGGTCTATTGTGCTTTCCACATGGGATTAGTAATCATCATCATCAGTAATCTGTCATACGACAGGTCCACAGTCTCTTCCAAAACAGTTCCTCCACTTAGTGCGATCTAGAGCTTTCTCCTTCAAATGACAGTATCCTCTTCTGTCCCCAAGGTCATCCAGTATCTACTTACGTCTTCTTCCTTGTCTTCTTGTCACTTCTCTCCGCCCCTCTATCTTTCCTTCAATAACTTCTTTTAGAAGGCAGTTTCTGCGTAAAACATGACCAATCCAATTAGCCTTCCGTTTTCTTATTTCATGTAGGATATTCCTCTGCTCACTGACTCTAATTAACACTTCTTCATTTCTCACATAATCGGTCCAACTGATCTTCTCCATCCTTCTCCAACACCACATTTCGAA